TCGGTTCAGATTTAGATATAGCTCCCATATATAGTTTCGATCGATTTTAGGTAATTGGTGCACCGAAGTCCCTGGATTTTTTTTAATTTTGCACGAATTCTGGCATGGCGTATTTAATTGAGGCTAAAATGATGTGTGCAAAGTTTCGTGGAAATCGGCTCAGATTTAGATATAGCTCCCATATGTATTTTCGTCCGATTTAAGGTAAATGGTGCCCCAAAGTCGCTATATATCTTTCGATTTGCACGAAATTTGGCACAGTGTACAGAATTAAGCCTTGAATGATGTGTGCCAAGTTTCCTGAAAATCGGTTCAGATTTAGATATAGCTCTCATATATATTTTCGTCCGATTTAAGGTAAATGGTGCACCAAAGTCCCTATATATCACTCGATTTGCACGAAATTTAGCACAGCGTACCGAATTGAGTCAAGAATGATATGACGTATGCTAAGTTTCGTGAAATTTGCTTCAGATTTAGATATTACTCCCATATATATTTTCGTCCGATTTTATGTAATTGGTGCCCCAAAGTCCCTGGATGTTTTTTAATTTGCACTAATTTTAGCATGGCGTACTGAATTAAAATATTTTGTTAAAAATCCACGCCTTGACATAACTTCAAAAAGTAATTTTTTAAAAATCCACGCAATCTATTTAATTGAATAAACACAACAGTAGGATGTACATTATTTTATTTCAATATCGTAACGAGCATGACCATTAACAACTTGTTCGGAATGTTTAGCATTTTTAATGAAAAGCTTCTGTGAACAAAAAAATGTTGTTGTGAAATGTTACCTAAAACCGAAAAAAACATTGAAACATTGTTGTACGAAGTAGATTTAACCAACAAAAATTTTCCCAAGCTGCAATGCCCACAACATTGTTAGGAAGCACATGATTCTACACATCGATTTAATTCCCATTAAAAGTGTAACGTGTTTGTGTTTGAATGTTAATTTTGTGACTTCCTTTAGAATTCAAACTCCTGTCAATTCATTTCCGATTTTTCAATGAAAATCTTTTTCAACGAAAAACTTTGTAGGCGCTTGTCATAACATCGAACCACAACAGCTGGTCCACAGTAATGCCAAAGGAATTCTTTGTAGGTAAAACAAGTTACTATGTCAATGAGCCATGATATGATTTGTGCTGATGTTGCTTCAACATTGGAATCAGTTCCTGCAGTTGGCAATGGCTTGACAATAATTGCACAACAGTCCACACAACGGTCGCAAATGATGGATTACACCAGGTTGGCTTGGTTGCACAATGCCAAAGCTCAAAAGCAGATGAATTAACAATCAAAGCTAGAAAACGAGTTGTTAAGTTATAAACATCGTTGTTTGGGGCAACGAGGTCTCTGTTGTATGACTGACCGACGACGACGACAAGTCATTATTTTACCTTACATGGACAAAAAAAAAGTCCGACAGTGAGAAGGTGAATTGTTACTGTTTTATATGCGTATAGCACAGTGGGAGAATAAACTAAAGAAACTATTGAAAGGCGAAAAATACGTAGATTTGTATACCCTTCGCCACACTGTGATACAGGGTATTATGTCTTTGTGCATATGTTTGTAACAGGCAGAAGGAAACGAGACAGACACATGGTTCCATTTGAGAATATGCATACAATCACATTCTGAGTCTATTTATGCATGTCCGTCCGTCTGGCGGTGTTAAATTGTAAACAAAATACAGGTCGCATTTATAATCCGATTTGGATGAAATTTGGTACAGCTCATTTATTTGGCCCAAGGACGAACCCTATTGAAATTGGGGAAAATCGGTTCAGATTTATATGTAGCTCCCATATATTTTCGTCCGATTTAATGTAAAAAAGTGTAGCAAAGTCCCTACATAACTTCCGATTTGCACGAAATTGGGCGCAGCGTACTGAATTAAGCCTAGAAAGATGTGTGCAAAGTTTCGTGAAAATCGGTTCAGATTTAGATATAGCTCCCATATATATTTTCGTCCGATTTAATAGAAATTTTGCACCAAGTTCCTATCAAATATCTTTCGATTTGCACGAAATCTGGCACAGCGTACGGATTTAAGCCTAGAGAAATGTGTGCTAATTTTTTTTTTTTTGAAAATCGGTTCAGATTTAGATAAAGCTCCCATATATATTTTCGTCTGATTTTATGTAAATGGTGTAACAAAGTCCCTAAATATCTTTCGATTTGTACGAAATAAGCCTAGAAACATGTGTGCAAAGTTTCGTGGAAATCGGTTCAGATTTAGATATAGCTTCCATATATATTTTCGTCCGATTTTATGCAAATGGTGTAGCAAAGTACCTATATATATTTCGATTTGCATGAAATTTGGCACAGCGTAATGAATTAGGTCTAGAATGATATGTGTTAATATTCGTGAAAATCGGTTCAGATTTAGATAGAGCTCCCATATATATCTTCGTCCGATTTAAAATTAATTGTATACCAAAGTCCCTATATATCTTTCGATTTGCACGAAATTTGGCTCAGCGTACTGAATTGAGCCTAGAATAATGTGTGCTAAGTTTCGTGAAAATCGGTTCAAATTTAGATATACCTCTCATATATATTTTCGTCCGATTTAATGTAAATGGTGCACCAAAGTCCCTAAATATCTTTCGATTTGCACGAAATTTGGCACAGCGTACTGAATTGAGTCTGGAATGATGTGAGTTAAGTTTCGTAAATATCGGTTCAGATTTAGATATAGCTCCCATATATATTTTCGTCCGATTTACGGTAAATGATGCACCAAAGTCCCTATATATATTTCGATTTGTACGAAATTTGGCATAGCGTACTAAATTAAGCCTAGAAAGATGTGTGCAAAGTTTCGTAAAAATCGGTTCAGATTTAGATATAGCTCTCATATAATTTCGTCCGATTTAAGGTAAATGGTGCACCAAAGTCCCTAAATATCCTTCGATTTGCATTGGGCACAGCGTACTGAATTGCGTCTATAATAATGTGTGCTAAGTTTCGTTAAAATCGGTTTAGATTTAGATATAGCTCCCATATATCTGTTCGACCGATTTAATGTAAATGGTGCACCAAAGTCCCTACATATCTTTCGATTTGCACGAAATTTGGCACAACGTACTTAATTGAGCCTAGAGTGATGTGTGCTACGTTTCGTGAAAATCGGTTTAGATTTAGATATAGCTCTCATATATAATTTCGTCCGATTTAAGGTAAATGGTGCACCAAAGTCCCTAAATATCCTTCGATTTGCATTGGGCACAGCGTACTGAATTGCGTCTATAATAATGTGTGCTAAGTTTCGTTAAAATCGGTTTAGATTTAGATATAGTTCCCATATATCTGTTCGACCGATTTAATGTAAATGGTCCACCATACTCCCTATATATCCTTCGATTTGCACGGAATTTGGCACAGCGTTCTGAATTGAGCCTATAATGATGTGTGCTATGCTTCATGATAATCGAACTGATGTGAGCTAAGTTTCGTGAAAATCGGTTCAGATCTAGATATAGCTCCAATATATATTTTCGTCCGATTTAATGTAAATAATGCTTCAAAGTCCCTAAATATCTTTCGATTTGCACGAAATTTGGAACAACAAACTGAATTGAGACTAGAGTGATGCGTGCTAAGTTTCGTGAAAATCGGTTTAGATTTAGATATTCCTCTCAAATTTAATTTCGTCCGATTTAGTAAAAATTTTGCACCAAAGTTCCTATATATTTTTCGATTTGCACGAAATTTAGTATAGCGTACCGAATTGAGTCTAAAGTGATGTGTGCTATGTTACGTAAAAATCGAAAGGATATGTGCTAAGTTTCGTGAAAATCGGTTGAGATTTAGATATAGCCCTATATATAATTCGTCCGATTTAATGTAAATGGTCAATATATTTTGCGATTTGCACGAAATTTGGCATAGCGTACTGAATTGAGTCTATAATGATGTGTGGTAAGTTTCGTGAAGATCCGTTCAGAAATACATATAGCTCCCACATATATTTTCGTCCGAATGGTGCACCGAAGTCCCATATATCTTTCGATTTGCACGAAATTTGGCATAACGTACTGAATTGAGCCTACAGTGATGTGTGCTAATTTTTTTGAAAATCGGTTCAGATTTAAATATAGTTTCCATATATATTTTCGTCCGATTTTATGCAAATGGTGTACCAAAGTACATATACACATCGTACATTTGGCACATCGTACTGAATTGAGCTTAGAATGATGTCTGTCAGGATTAGTGAAAATCGGTCCAGATTTAGATATAGCTCCCATATATCTGTTCGACCGATTTAATGTAAATGGTGAACCAAAGTCCCTACATATATTTCGATTTGCACGAAATTTGGCACAACGTACTTAATTGAGCCTAGAGTGATGTGTGCTAAATTTCGTGAAAATCGGTTCAGATTTAGATATAGCTCCCATAGCTATTATCTTCTGATTAAAGGACCCAAAAACAACAACAAATCATTCATTTAACGTCCACTGTAACTTTTTGGTTAACAACAATGTCAATGAGAAAATAGTACATGCCTTTGATATCATTGGCAGTGATTTATGGTCAAAGGAAGTGATGGCTTCTAATGCAATTTCTTCCGACATTGTGTTACCCAGTGGACATATTCGATAACGTCAAAACAAACAAAAATGGAGCACTCTCTCTCTGACACACACACACAGCGAAAAATCTCAATAATGCGTTTTTAACACATTTCATACTTCCTTTGTGTTTCGAAGTGGACAACATCAAAAAAAAAACAATTGTAACAACGACAACAATAATAATAAACTTATTATTAATAATTTTTTCATCAATTCACATTTTTATAGAAATTGTTTTCCATAATTTCAATTAAAAAATGGATTGCAACAACATCACTCATTTGTTCGTTGGAGCAGGCGGCATGCATGCCTAATGGCTTCGCTTCAGAGCGTAGTGGTGTTTGATGTCCACGCTGGTGGTTGGTGGCAAGTTGGTTGGTTGGCAGGCGCTGTGGCTAGTTATTCATTGCCACAGTGCCATAGTTTCTGATCCTCATGATATTGTATTAAAACCAGTTCATATGTGACAATTGTTCCAGCTACCTAAAAGCGGTTAATGAATGAACAAAAAATGGAAACAAACATAAAACTGTAAAATATTGAATTCAATTTTGGTTTCATTGCAGATTTAATGGTTGTAGGTAGTGCCGATTATTAGTTAATTAATATATTATGATTATGTCATAATCGATTGGTGGTTGGACTTGGAGTAACCATAAATAGTTAACTTACCGTCAACAGCAATTTCCTGGTAATATCGAAATACCTCAATCCCGTCATAGTCACCGACATTGAATTGATTTCTATTGCAAATCGTTCTATTTCACTGTGATAGGCATCGGCTGGAACATATTTCAGTATGACCAACGGATCTTTGGAGCGATCATTTACTTCGGACAAGTACAGAGATACGGCCAAGGTACGAACCAGCAGAAACATAAAGGAAAAATAAAAATAGATGGCATGGGCAATAGATGGCATTGTGCTAAGTGGGAAAGAGAATGAGAGAGAGAGCGATGAAAGGTAGGAATAAGGTGTCAAATATAGTATTCTACAAAGTAATTTTAGAGAGAAAAAAAGTGTACTTTGTCGAAAAAAAAAATATTTTTTGAAGTCCCTATAAATACTCCCAAATCAAATAAATAAATTAATTTCATATTTTTAAACTTACTTAATACTCTTTAAGCATTGAATGCAGACAAAATATAAATTATTTGCAAACGACAACATTATAATCCCCGAGACGGCAGCATCGACCTCTTCGATTAAGTCACACACAAGCATATATTGCTTTCGGATTTCACACCAATATGATTCGGGCATTGCCTACAACAACAAACACACACTAATTAATCCCCAAGAAAATTTTATTATTTTTTGAATGCCAAATTAGAATTAATACTGTCGTTGGGTTATATTTTCATCCGATCTTCTTACCTTGCCTTTATACTGTTCCATTTGCCGCTGGATTCTCTTAAACATCGATGACAGGCCAATGCCAATAATTAACACAAACACATCCATATATGTCCAGCCAAATGTCAAGAGAATATTTTCAATTTTACCCAACCATGCCAGCCAGGGTGAATAGTCGAAAATCAGAAATATCTGATCGACAGTATTAAGAAAATACGATTCGATGGGGTCATTGGTCGAGGGACAATAGTTGGCAAAATGTATGGCCGAAATGGTGCTAAGTAAGTGTTCGGCTGGACAGAAAAAAAGGAAAGTGAGTTTTTAGAAAAACATCCAAAAACAAAAGAACTCATTTAAACCAGTAAGGAAAGTAGTAAAGTCGGACTGGGCCGACTATATGTTGCCCTTCACCACTCTATTCGGTACATCACACTGTTAAAAATTCAATCTCAATCAGACACTCGTTTGAAATACATATTGAAGCTAGCTACATCTACACCAATTTCAACAAAACGCAATAATGTCATTGAAATCTCAATCGAAATGTGAATCGATTTTCCCGAAACGTACCACACAGCATTGTAGACTCAATTCAGTACGCTATGCCAAATTTCATGCAAATCGAAGGATATATAAGGACTTTGCTGCACCATTTACATAAAGTCGGACGAAAGTATATATGGGAGCTATACCGAAATCTGAACCGATTTTCCCGAAATTTACCACTCATCATTCCTGACAGAATTCAATACGTTAAACCAAATTTCGGGCAAATCTAAAGTTATATAGGTGCATCATTTACCTTAAATCGGACGAAAATATATATTGGAGCTATATCTAAATCTGAACCGATTTTCACGAAACTTAGCACACATCATTCCAGACTTAATTCAGTACGCTGCGCCAAATTTCGTGCAAATCGAAAGATATATAAGGACTTTGGTACACCATTTACATTAAATCGGACGAAAATATATATGGGAGCTATATCTAAATCAGAACCGATTTTCACGAAACTTGGCACATATCATTCTTGACTCAATTCAGTACGCTGTTATAAATTTCGTGCAAATCGAAAGATATTTAGGGACTTTGGTGCACCATATACCTCAAATCGGGCGAATATATATATATGGGAGCTATATCTAAATCTGAACCGATTTTCACGAAACTTGGCAGACATCACTCTAGGCTCAATTCAGTACGCTATGTCAAATTTCGTACAAATCGAACGATATTTAGGGACTTTGGTGCACCATTTACATAAAATCGGTCGAAAATATATATGGGATCTATATCTCAATCTGAACCGATTTTCATGAAACTTGGCAGCCATCATTGTAGGCTCAATTCAGTACCCTATGTCAAATTTCGTGCAAATCGAAAGATATATAGGGACTTTGGTGCACCATTTACCTAAAATCGGACGAAAATATATATGGAAGCTATATCTAAATCTGGGCCGATTTTCAAGAAACTTAACACACATCATTCTAGACCCAATTCAGTACGCTGTGCCAAATTTCGTGCAAATCGAATGATATATAAGGACTTTGGTACACCATTTACATTAAATCGGACGAAAATATGTATGGGAGCTATATCTAAATCTGAACCGATTATCACGAAACTTGGCACACATTACTCTAGGCAATTCAGTACGCTATGATAAAATTTCGTGCAAATCGAAAGATATATAGGGACTTTGATCCACCATTTACCTTAAATCGGACGAATATATATATATATGTGAGCTATATCTAAATGTGGACCGATGTTCATGAAACTTGGCAGCCATTATTGTAGGCTCAATTCAGTACGTTATGCCAAATTTCGTGCAAAACGAAAAATATTTAGGGACTTCGACGTACCATTAACCTTAAATCGGGCGAAAATATATATGTGAGCTATATCTAAATCTGAACCGATTTCCTCCAATTTCAATAGGGTTCGTCCTTGGGCCAAACAAATGAGCTATGCCAAATTTCATCCGATTTGGATTATAAATGCGACGTGTACTTTGTTTACAATTTAACACCAACAGACGGACGGACATGGATAAATCTATGCATACTCTCAAAAGGAACTATGGGTCTATCTCGTTTCCGTTTGATTGTTATATAACACCCTGTACCACAGTTTGTCCTTTAAAAAATCTACGCCTAATGACCCTTAAAAAATAATTTTAAAAAATACTGGCCTTTTAAAAAATCCACGTCTATACTGGGCCTTGAAAAATTCATTTAAAAAAATACACCGCTGTACTTTAAAAAAATTAATTTTAAAAAATCCACGCCTGTACTGGCCCTTAAAAAATAATTTAAAAAATCCACTTTTCATTTGTTAATGTAAATATAAATTTAATAAAATCTTACTCAACGACAATGTGATCAGAACAAATGTCACCGTCTTAATTCGCCTAGCCAATTCGCCACGTTCCTGCCAGCTCTGATGTGCGGGTAATTGTCTTTCCACTTGTTGCCAACGTCTCATCAACTTTGGCCATTTCGAGGCCAATCGTAGAAAACCAATGGAAGCCATGAATATGGTGCTGTGGAAAACCAATGGTTCTGTAAATCAAAAACAAAAAAGGAAAAGAAAATGAAAAAACAAAAGGACCACAACAAAAAACCGAATTGAAATCTCCATCAATTCTATCCAACTGCTGTCTGCTGCAGTTGGGCGACTTGTTGGGCCACTCACCAATGTTTCGCACATCCAACTCAGCACGTCTGACCATATTCAATGTTAGCAGGCTATCGGCAATGGTTAGGGCCATATAGACCAGACAATAGCTGGTGCGAAAGCTAAGCCAACGAAATGACAAGCCCTTGACTGTTTTACTGAGAACACCACGTACCGGCATCAGGCAAAAACACTGGGCCATAACAAGAACTGTGCGATTGTTGTGGTGGGTTATTTGAAAAAAAGGGAGGGAATGGAAAATAGGCAATAGAATATAACAGATGATAAAGTATACAAAAAGATGCATAGAGACGTTAAATTCTATTTCACTTGAAATTTATTATTATTTTTATTTTCAAATCCACGCATGTCGTAGTCTTTAAAAGAAAGTAATTTAAAATCAGACAACGAAGCAGTATAATCGGACGGGGCCGACCATACGATGCCCTACACTACTACTACAGAACTCTATCTTTCTGCAGATTTTTATTCCGATTAGGGTCAATATTTCGTGATAACATTAACATATTTCACGAATATTACCAATATTCAGTACGGCCCTTCTAATTACTTGTCCATATTCCCTTCACCGTGGGTTGTATTGTGATGATAGGCTTATAATTTTAACCAATGATTGAATCGAAAAAAATTAGTTCTCGGTCCTCTTCATCCCAAACTTATTATCTGATCATCACCAAAAATTATAGGCGTTGTCCTGGAACCTCATGGAACATTTCAAAGCGAGCCGCGCTATATTTCCGCCCTGTAGTGTGGTAGTGGGTTAATAAATAATATCTGAATACGTAATCACCTGCAAATATTTACGTGTAACTCCCACATCCATACGACAATATAATTGGTATCAATTTATAGGCCAACCGCTCCTCTTGGATATACTATCAATTTATCGGCTCTAAGTCCTTCAGGAGTAAATATATTCGCTATAGAATACAAATTTTGTAATTTTTCACATAAAAGTCAGGGTCCATTTGACCCGCCAAATATTGACCGATCTTTATCAAAACAGGTATCCTTACTCTTTGGCCAAATCCCCTTCTCCATGTAAAAAATCACAAATACTTGTCAGACACACCTAAATACACATGTAAATATGTCGAATAACGCCCACTTACGACACTGGTTAAACATGTTCTTAATTATTCCAACATTATGTAAATTACTTGGACTTCGACATCCTTAAATGCCACAAGCCGGATGGCTGGTTGGCAGACTGAATAGCTGACTGGCTGTCATTTACAACAACACCTAACGAGTGCGCTGGCTGATACAATTTCCTAATTAGTCGGCGACGACGATAACAATGTAATCATGTTAGCAAATTCATATTGAATTTTTTTCAGGCAAAGATTTAATTTAATATGCCATCAAGGATATGTGTGTGTGTACACACACACCGACGCACATATATGTGTGTGTAATGAAAATGTACATATTTACTAATTCAATGTCAATGATAAATTTTAACATATATTTGATAACTGTGATTAAATTCGTATACCAATTTTAAAGATTAACAAACATTTGTTCTGATGAACAAAATGATGCCCGTTTACCTACCCGGCCCAATTGCTTCGTGGAAACTACCATTGTGTAGTAAATCCGCTTTAGTTGCATAACGGATACCATCTAAAATAGAAATGAAAAAAATTATTTAAAAATGTGGATACCTAACCCTTACTAAATTAACACTTACGATGCACTTTTCTGAAATCCTGGCTATCTAAATATTTGCGAATAACTTGCTTGGGATCAGGGTTTGATCTGTAAATGAAAAGAAAAAAATTTACATCTTCACGAATTTGTAGTGATTGTTATATCCTACACAACTATGTTGTCAGGGTATTATAGCTTTGTACAGCCCCAAGAGTTTGTAACGCTTTGTACTGGTCCTAGACCCACCTTTAAGTATACCGATCGTCATATCTCGTGTAGCTGAGTCGATCTAGACATGTGTGTCCGTCCGTCCGTCCGTCTGTCCATTATAATTTGTAAACACGATACAGGCCACAGTTATGGACAAATCTTCACGAAATTTTGCATGTAGGATGGGTTCTGCCCAATGAAGACCCCCATTGTAAAGATCGCTTAATATTTAGGGGATGAAAAGGGCTAAAAACTGAATTTTTGTCTGATTTTCTGGTCGCTTTAGATGCCGCAATTATGGCCCAAAGATCGCGAATTTTTACATGGAGAGGGGGATCGGTCCAAAGAATAAGCATGCCTGTTTTGATAAAGATCGGCCAATATTTAACGGGTCAAATGGACCCTAACTTTTGTGTGAAAAATGACAATGTATTGTATGGCGTATATATTTACTTCTATTACTTACTTTACTTCTATATATATATATACTTCTGAAGAACATAGAGCCGAGAAGTTGATATTATATCCAAGAGGAGTGGTTGAACTTTAAATTGATATCAATTATATTGTGGTATGTACTGGGAGTGGGAGTTACACGTAAATATTTACAGGTGCTTATGTATACAGATATTATTTAGTAACCCATTAACACACGTGAGGGCGGAAATATGAAATTTTCCACGAGGATCCAGAACAACGCCTATAATTTTCGGTGATGATCAGATAATAATATTGGGATGAGGTGGACCGAAAACTTAATTTTTTGTGTTTTTTCAAATCGATATATAGGCCACAAATGAAAGCCTAACATCATAACACAACCCACGGTGAATGAAATCTTGAATATTGGAAGGACTGTACTGGATTTGTTGACTTCTAGTCGGTCAAGAGGGTGCAAATATCGCGAAATATTGCCCAAGCTCAGAATATAGAACCACAGAAAGCTAAAATGTTGTGGAAGTTGTGTAGAGTATCATATGGTCGGTCGCGTCCGACTATACTGCTCCGCTCACTGCTTTATTTTTTATTTTTTTTTTTTCATTAATCATTTTTATACCCTTCACCACACCGTGGTACAGGTTATTATGTCTTTGTGCATATGTTTGTAACAGGCAAAAGAAAACGAGGTAGACACATGGTTCCTTTTGAGAATATGCATAGAATCACTTTCTGAGTCGATTTATGCATGTCCGTCCGTCTGTCCGTCTGTTCGTGTTAAATTGTAAACAAAGTACAGGTCGCTTTTATCATCCGATTTGGTTGAAACTTGGCACAGCCTATTCATTTGGCCCAATGACGAACCCTATTGAAATTGGGAAAAATCGGTTCAGATTTAGATATAACTCCCATATATACGATCGACCGATTTTATGTAAATGGTTCACCAAAGTCCCTATATATGGTTGGTATAACACACTAAATTAAGTCTAAAATAATGTGTGTTAAGTTTCGTGGAAATCGGTTCAGATTTAGATATAGCTCCGATATATATTTTCGTCCGATTTATGGTAAATGGTGCGCCAAGGTCCCTAAATATCTTTCGATTTGCACGGAATTTGGCATAGCGCTATGAAATAAGGCTAGAATAATGATATATATTTTTGTCCGATTTAATGTAACTGGTGTACCAAAGTCCCAATATATCTTTAGATGTGCACGAAATTTGGCACAGCGTACTAAATTAAGTCTAGAATGATGTGAGTTAAGTTTCGATTTAGATATTGATCCGATATATAATTTCGTCCGATTTAAGGTAAATGATGCGGAAAAGTCCTTTATATCTTCCGATATACGAAATTTCGCATAGCGTACGGAATTAGGCCTAGAATGATGTGTGTTAACTTTCGTGAAAATCGGTTTAGGTTTAGATATAGCTCCCATATGTGTTTTCGTCCGACTTATGGTAAATGGTGCGCCTATGTCCCTAAATATCTTTCGATTTCAACGAAATTGGGCATAGCGCACTGAATTAAGTCTAGAATGATGTGTGTTAAGTTTCGTGAATATCGGTTTAGATTTAGATATTGATCCGATATATAATTTCGTCCGATTTAAGGTAAATGATGCACAAAAGTCCCTATATATCTTCCGATATACGAAATTTGGCATAGCGTACGGAATTAGGCCTAGAATAATGACTGTTAAGTTTCGTGGAAATCGGTTCAGATTTAGATATAGCTCCGATATATATTTTCGTCCGATTTATTGTAAATGGTACGCCAAAATCCCTTAATATTTTCGATGTGTACGATATTTGGTATCGCGTACTTAATTAAGTCTAGAATGATGTGTGCTAAGTTTCTTGGAAATCGGTTCAGATTTAGATATAACTCCCATATATATTTTCGTCCGATTTAATGTAAACGGTGTCCCTACATATCTCTCGATTTTTACGAGATTTGGTAAAGCGCACCCCCAATTTTCGGTATTTTGGGGTTCTTGAGCGCGTTCTTCAACCGAATACACTGCAATTTGATACATTAGATTCTTATTGGGTACTGAATGTCTCCACAGAAAATTATAAATATAGGTCCACTTTTTTTGGTAGCCCCCCATATAACGGTACATCCTAATTTTCAATATTTTGGGATTTTTAGTATTTTGAGTTCTTCATAGGTTCCAAATCTCTCCACAAAAAATTATGAATATAAGTCCATTTTTTCGGGTAGCCCCCATATAAGGGTAACCCCAACATTCGATATTTTGGGGTTCTTGAGCGCATTTTTCAACCGAATTCGCTGCAATTTGGTATTTTATAGTCATATATGGTAACAAATCTTCCTACCAAAAATTAATAATATTCGCCCCTTTTTGGCGTAGTCCCCATATAACCCCCTCCTTTATATTAAAATAGTTATCTGATTTGTTCCGCGTTTTGGGTTTGGTTCTGAGACTCTGTTTTAATCATTTCACATGCGGAGGATATCGAGATAAGAAACTAGAACGTAAGGTTCGGTAATGAACTATATATGAAGTACAGCCCACAGCTTACATCATAACACAACCCATGTTGAAGGAAATCGTGAATATTGGAAGGGCTGTACTGGATTTGTTGACCTCTAGTCGGTCAAGAGGGTGCAAATATCGCGAAATATTGCCCAAGCTCAGAATATAGTAAAATAGTTATCTGATTTGTTTCGCGTTTTGGGTTTGGTTCATAGACTCTGTTGTAATAATAATCGAGATAAGAAACTAAAACGTAAGGTTCGATAATGAACTATATATGAGGTACAGCCCAGACTTAGGCCTAGCCCCTGTATTGGACGTACCGGAAGGAGTGGACTGATATTCCCCATCTTCGAACTTGAACTAAGTTTGGAA